ATTTTATTCCAAAGTTGCTTCATTTGTGAGCTACACGCTGGCGCTATTTTAGTTGAAACTAAAGAAGAAAGTTTATTGGGTATTTTACTATCCGTTAAAAAATAATATATTACGTAATAAGTGTTGTAAAAAGCATTTTACGCACGAATGGGAATGGGAACAGTATATTACGTAATAAGTGTTGTAAAAAGCATTTTACGCACGAATGGAAAAGTTACGCACGACGCCGCGTAGCAGCGAGTGCGTAATTCTATGAGTGCGTAATTGCATTACACCATGTATTACGTACTATACTTTACCTACGACCACTACTTTAAATACTTAAAAACACACCGTCTGCGATCAATGCAAGATTCCTATTACGTCGTATGGTAAAAAAAAAACGCACAGCTTGGTAAAAAAAATCGTAGTTTTCCTAGCAACCGCCTAGCAACGGTCAATACAAACAGTATTGTATTGGCCGTTGCTAGGCGGTTGCTAGGAAAACTGTGCGATTTTTTTACCGTATGTAATAGGAATCTTACACTGATCGCAGACGGTATGTTTTTAAGTATTTACAGTAGTGGTCGTAGGTAAATATATAAAACAGTCATTAATCTGTCAATTGGACAATTTAATACATAGTTTTAAGTAAAAGTAAAAGACAAAAGCTAATTCAAACATTTTTTTTAATTTAAAAATTAAAATTGCCTGATAATACAATGCCAAGTAAGATGTAGAGACAAAAAGACTCTTCGCAGCATCTTTTTTTTACATGATTAGTCTTTGTAAGCAGTAATAATAAAACAGGATATTTATATTTTATTTTTATTTTGAATAATACCTATTATCAGTACAAATAGCACATAGTAGATTTCTGGTATCTGATTTTTTAATTTGTTTCAATTAGCTTAATATCTTTAAAATACCTAGATTGAAAAAGGATGTGATTAAAATAATCACATCCTTCGTATCATCGTACCTTTACATTTGAGCGCGTTAATCTTATTTTGATTTCATACAGTTATAATGAATATCCCTCCGCATTGTTAGATATGTTTTTTGACCCCTCTAAATCCTGTTCAGACTACAGGTATATCTCTTGGTCCAGTGTCAACATTCATCAACCTGCGCATACAGATAGTAACTGGTTTATGTAATTATACTACTATTTGCGATATAAAAGAATGTTTATACAGACACAGGACACGCGACTATACTTAACCTTTGACCGGTCATGTTTTTGGTACATAGGGATGCAGGGATGATGAATACAACGGTATTTCATGGGTGGTTAGATAACAATAATGGTAAATATATGCGTGTACAGGGCAGACCAATTTAACACCTTAAGAGCTTTTCATATTTCCGAAAGAAATGTCACAACTTCGATTTTCAAAACGTCTTGTTTCTTTTAAGAAATTTTCATTCATTTTCTAATTTTTATCGTTTCCTATAATGCCCCATAACTTTTGAGTGAAAATATTAAATATTTGTATGTTTTTTACAAAGCTTTTCACGCGATATCTATAAACTTTATTAGTATCTATTATCAAAATAAAAAGTGAATAATTTGTTATGATTTGCCTGTATTTTATTTGCCTGTATGCCAACAAGAACTTGTCTTGTACAATAACTTTGTTTAGACACTAGAACTTTAGTGTGTTTCACTAACTTATGTTGATATATTTTGAAGTACGAGATTTGTTTAGAAAATGAAAAATTCAATTTAGCATTGAACTAACAAAATATATTGCATATTCAAATATTTGGACAATTAAACAAATTGTATTTACTTAAGTACTACATTAAATCTACTAGCTATTATACTTTTGCTCTAGAGGGTGAAAATTTAGAGATTATAGTCGACTTTGGTATGTTTGAAAATTTACTTTAAAGTTATGAATTTGATTGTTATTTACGAATTCGTATGGTGAGTTTTTTAAATTGGCAAATTTTTTAAAAGTATGAAACTCACATAACGCATTGATGTATTGCTGATTTCGGAGATGCCTTCCAGGTGACGTTATAATAGATTTCGGTGCTCTACGTCGTCAAACTGGTCCCATGTGCATGATTTTGCAATGGTAAATAGGGTTTGCACTTCACCTGCCGTTGTATTTCCCCACTGCACTTCATTAATTTTTATTTGACAATTTATACTTTGCACTTTTGGTTAAATAACATTTGTTCCCATTATATGTTTCCAGTAGATATTTGATTAGTTGAGAAAAATTTCAACTGATAGAAAATTACACTTTTTGACAGATGGCAGATTACTTCTAAATGTCGTTTGACGTTTCAAAACTGGTAACTAAGTTCACCATTTATTTACTTAATTTTATTTTAGCTGTAACTCAACGATGTTTACAGCTTGGCAAATTATGAAAGACTGACTACTACGAGACCTGTTCCAGTTTTCATAAACTGAAGACAAAAGAACATGCTGCTGTGGATACATTATATTAACGTTTTATGAAAATTTTTAACTGGAAATTATGCCTTTATGTATGTTTTTTGCAGCATGACAATTACATATTCCGATTCTACATAATTTTCTGTAAATTTCAATACCTATATCTTTCTTCTTCGTTCATTTTCAAACATTCTACTATTTTTTCAAATTTTTGCAAAATTTAACCAAACTGTGCTATTTAGCTTAATTCTATGTTTGTAATACTGTTTCACGACATTGATATTTCCTTATTTTCATTATTCTGAACAGTCTTTTCCTGTTTGAATTAACTAATAGGTAACTGAAATGTTTTCAGGTCCACCGTTTTTTGACAACTAATAATGTTTATTTACTTGGAATGTAAATTGCGATTAGAATACAGTTTTATATGACTAGAAGGTTTTTTTAACACAACACAAATCATTTTATATTTTATACATACTTTTTACACAAAGATTTCACACAATGTTGAATCATTGTTTTGACATTCCGAAAATCGCTCCTATATGATACATGACTTTACAAAATTGTACTTTTATGTACTTTCTAACTTTTCTACTATATATTGTTGCCTTTTACAGCCTATTTAATTCAAAATTTTACATTATTTAGATTATTTTGACAGATTGTTGTATTCATCTAACGATTTTGCCTTTTTATTAAACAAACTTATTCTATATGTAAATTTTATCCTTCATTTTCTCATGTCTAGTATTCCACATCCCTGTTGTCAGTTTTTCTCTTCTTTTTCTAGCGTGAATATGTCTAAATTTTCAACATTACGTTATGTTATTTAATCATTTAACATTTCAACTTAGAATATCATAACAATACATACTTAAAATTGTAGTAATCTTAATTTTTTCTGTATAAATTAAAGTCAGCAGTACTACAATTATGAAGATTTTGTCCAATTTCAATCAGAATTCTGTCTCGCCTAACTCAACAATTTAACAGCCAATTTAAACAAAAATCCCGACATAAATAACAAAAATTCTGCTTAATTTACCCTCGTTAAGAATTTTGTTTAAACCTACTCTCATTTGCACAATTAAACCCTTAATCAGAAAACCCCTGAAGATAGCCTTTACACCCTACACTAACAATTTTCTCAATTCCGCCGGATCGATACCGAAACTAAAACTCTCAAGAGCCATACTACACCGCAGTCATTCATTTTTGTAAACTGACCCCTTTCCATTAGCTCCCCGCTTCCCGTCCACGCAAAGGACCCAACAACCTTCCCCGGCGTTTGCCGCTCTACCAATAAGGCGTCCTGCTCTGCTTCGGTGTCCGCAGATGTAAATTAGTGCCAGAACCGTCCGAATTAATTGCAATCGGAGATCAAGCTGGCCCCGGTTTGACGATCGTCGTCTGGCACCTCGGCCGATCCCTCGGCTTAACCCTCTCCCTCCCCTTGAAGGGACGTGGATATATGGCTGCGTAGTTGGAGGTTGAACATGCCTTACGTTTTCCAGCTGGAAAAATAATGTCGTAGTTCGTGCGAAGGCGAGGTTATTACTGTCAACAAAACTTTTGTTTGTCGTTAATATATCGTATGTTTATAGCTAATAATAATGAGATAAGTAAAAATAAATTGACAGCTAAAGTTTACTTGGAAAAAGAAGTAGATGCTTGGGAGAATTATGGCATTCTTCAGTTTTACTGTAAAATGTAACACTGGAAGTTTTCAACATAATATTCAATTCAATACAATTTCCTTTATTTATTATGTCTTTTTTATGACATATTGTAAAATTGCAAGGAAAATTTACAGTATCTTAAAAAAATGTATTTAAACTTTCGCTGCAATTTTTACATATTCTAGGAAATTTTGCCGAATTTAGAATTTTTTTGTCACCAAAAAGACCACACCATACATTCACTGAAAACCGTTACTCTGTATTCCACATGGGGGCTGGAAATCATTGTAATTTAATGCCTGAACCCTTTGTATATGTAGGAGTGTAATAACTGTTCCGTAGTACACACCACATGGTACTTCTCGGACAATGTCGCGAGTACTGCGCCTCGGATCTTCCTGAACGAGGTTTGTGACGTTTTCTTCGTTGTAGAAAACACGTTGCTGCCTTCATATACCAGGTGGACATTCTTGGCATCCCGTAACTTTTAACCTGCCTTTTGCGCTGTTCAGCTGTTAGGTTGTCGTCTGTTACGGTAACATACAAACGACAAATCTTATTTAAATTGTACTGACATTCTCCTCTATCGCCCTTTTCAAGGAGCGCACTTATTTCAGAAACACCCTGTATAGTGAAGTAGTCATAGATATGTATTTATCTCCCCCATACACAGGTTTCTTTGTGATAAAAAATAGTAACAATGAGCGTTTGTGTTTATGAAATTTTGTGAATGATTTCATTTTATGAACAAAATAATAAGTCCGCGCTGTTATCACTATATTTTCTCTGTACACAAACACGAAAAAATCGACGTGACTTTATCTCAATGTGAAGGTACTGCGGTACAAATTTATACGCTACTTTCATGCAACAAACAATGTTAGCGCAACTTTATCTTATCCCTTATCTCGCTTTGTGTAGTTACTCATATCGTCGCGAACACAGACGCGAATGTGTGAGTTAAAATTAATAAACGCCATGTAAAAATGTGTGTCTCCTGAGAAAATGTTCGCGAAGTATGTGATTTGTGTGTTCCTGCTGCTGTACGCAGCAGAAGCTAAGCCCAGGGAAATTAAATGCCCTGATTATTGCAAATGCGACGTCATAGAGACTTTGAGGCGAGCTACATGTCAGAATAAAAAGCTGTATTCCATTGAAATTGACATACCGCCTCAAGCCGAGGTCTTGGACTTGTCCTACAATCAGATCAGTGAACTGGGAAGCCATATATTTTTGGTAAATATACAGAAAAATGTCTGAATGCTTTCAACGGAATAGAATAATAAAATTTCATGTTTTGTATGGTCTGGCGAAGCTAGTTCAGAAATGTGTGTATGCCATGAACCTGTCCTTATATATTTATACTCGTAGCAGTGAATTTACATTTAAGAACACAGGTTAATTTAGAAGTAGGTATATTTTTTTCGGTATAAAAAAATACTACCCAATTATATTGAAAGGTCTAGGCTCGAAAATGTGTTGTTACCGCTCCTGTTCTTTATTTTTAGGCATCTCTATTTATTTTGAAGTCTTATTCATCGCATCCTTTCTACTAAACATCTGTAGTGTAGGACATTGTTTGGAGATGCATTTTAAATATATTTTTATAACTAGTATCGTTTAGATAAGATTGCATCCTTAATAAAAAAAAATTAATACGACTTTTGAGAGACCTTATTTTATTTTTAGACAATCTTGTCAACATATTAAACATTGCAATAACTACCATCACCGTCTTTTAAAACTGTGACGTTATAAGCTACTTAAACTTTGTTTATATTGTGATAAAAACAGAAAATCCATTGTGAAAGTGGGTGGCAAAGATAACTATCTTTATTTGTATTGAACCTGAGTTAACGCTGCATTTTTATGCTTAATCTAAATTCTAAAAAGAATGATAAGTTTGTGACGTCATATTTGGCCACTTTCTTGGAATAAAAATATAGATTTAACCTAATTTTAATTTTCAAATCATGTATTACCGATTTGTTACTATTAGAGACCTATTTTGCATAATTTTTTATTATAAAAGTGTTGACATTATCAGGCATTACTGTATCAAATAAAGCCAACAACCTAAAATTAGAGACCATAAATTCAAGTTATTAGCTTCCTATTGTTATTATTTATGATGAATGAGGTAGCAATAAAACAGTATTAATTTTATTTAAAGAAATATGCATTTGAGTAATTTTCCAAGATAAAACAAAACAGAACACCACGGTCATTTAAGAACAAGAAACATTAATAAAAATTAGAAAATAATAGAAAAGAAGTTATGCAAGGTGTTACAAAACAATAGGTCCAATTATTGTCTACAAATTCTTTGGGTTAAAATGGTAGGACTTTCCTTATACAGTTTTCCATTTAGGCATCTCTTTCTTAAGATACGGCGTGGGAAAATTAGGTAAAAAAGGATTTGTTAGTAATTTCAAAGTTTTTTCTAATTATGCAAAAAGCGTTTCATGTTACAATTTCTGTTTTTTTAATGCTTTGCATAATCTGATTGTCAAAACAGGTAAATAGAAGTGTGAATTTCATTCTTAAATTTACACCAAATACAGTAAAACCACAAAAAATAGGGGTAATACGTTTTAATAAGACAATGTTAAAAAATAACAATGCATCGCAAAAAGAAAATATACACTCAAATTCGTAATTTTGCACAATGCATTATTGTTTAATTAATTTAATTGTAAGTATATTCACAATTTTTATCAATGCATCTTTCATTTATTATCAAAATTACTCACAAAATTTTCTTTCAAGACTCGGCTGAACCTACTTTTTGCAACATCCTATATAAATTACCATTTTAATGATGGGTGGCATTCTTTATTTTCTTTTATTTATTTATTTATTTATTTATTTATTTATTTATTATTTCTTTTTTTTTTCAGGAGATTGGTTTGACAAATCTGAAACTGCTAAACCTGTCGCACAATAAAGTTAGCCAGATTCATCTGAACGGCTTCGAAGGCCTTGCCAAATTAAGAACTCTTGATTTGTCTTACAACATGCTCCGATACTTCACAGACCAATGGTTCGTGAGTTTAAACTCTTTGCAGGAGCTGTACCTCAAGGGAAACAACCTCAAATCCATCAATGAAGAGCCACGACTAAACCTGAAACACCTCCGGGTACAATTACAATGCTTTTATCGTTAAAATATCAAATAAAGTTACTTTTCTTTAGGTGTTAGATCTGGGCAATTGCGCTATAACAGCCCTGAACCCAGGGATATTCCAAAAGCTCCCCAACCTTCAAGTTCTGGACATATCAGAGAATTACCTCCTCACCCTAAACGTAGAAGTCATAGCCTCTTTGACCAATCTGAACACGCTGCTAGTAAACGACAATAACTTTGATTGCAGGGATATCAGAATGACTCGATTGAGAAATTACACTAGAACCAAAGGCATCAGCTATAAGGACCCTTGTTCCAAAAATAAGAAGAAGAAGACGGAGCAATTCGAGAGAATGATGGCGATTGGTTCGCAGGCACCTGAGAAAAACGTGTGGATTTACGACGAAGATGAAGAGGGGATGAAGAACGTAAAAGTTGTAGAAGTCTGTGGTGGTGGCACTAACCAAAGTGTTAGTTTTATGGGTGCAACAGATAATGTGCTGATGGAAATTATGGGAATGTCACCAATCCTGTCGGTTGTAATAATATTTGCCTTCGGAATATTTCTGGGTATGTACTTAGAAACATCTCATTTTTAGTTCTTATTGCGAATAATCTGTTAATATATTCTCTTTTTCTTCCAGGTCTGATTCTTGGTTGTTCGATAGAACTGCGCCCCAAATCCCAAGAAGAACTCGACGATATCCATCTGCCTGATGGTATGATAGCTTCCAGAGCAAGATCTATGAGTATAGGCAGTAGACTGGCGATGGCGGGTCAAACCTCTGAATCTATACCTCTAACTAGACAGCATAGCCTCGGGAGCAAATCAACTGCTCTAATGAGACAGAACAGCATCGGCAGCAAGTCCTTAGGAAGGCAGAATAGCACTGCTAGTAACTTTAGACCGAGATCCAAAAGTGGTGGTAGTAGAAAGGTTATGAGAGAAGACAGAAATGTCCTGCTGTTGCACGATGCTGGAATGTCCGATTCCACGCCTGTTATAGCGAGGAAAACTTATTTATAATTTTATATCGTAATAATTTTATTGACTAAGAAATACAAGAACTGCAGGTACAGTTCTTTGTTTTTATTCGAGTCTTCAGTGTTTTTGATTAAAAGAACATAATTCAATAACTTTTATGACTATTCCAAAACTTTTTTTATGATGTGAAAATACGTATACTTTAGTAAATATAATATATACAGTAGAAGTGAAGATATCTACTAAAAGTTGACTAGATTTTGTCATTTTAATGTGATAAATATATATGACAATATTATAAAAGTTAGACAATGTAACTGAATATATGTATACATAGGGTTAATTTATTTAAGGAGCTTGTTTTTTATTTATTTTAATCAAAATTAATTAAATAAATGGTTTTAGAAAGAATATTCCCCCGTAAAGCTGTAAAATACTTTGCCAGAATATAAGCACCTTCTCAGATATAGGCACTTCTCGATATACTGGGTGAACTTTAAATGCGGATGTATTTCAGTAGAGGTATAGTTTTGGGACAAAATTAGGAACAAAAAAATGAAATTAAAAGTAAATATGCATGACTTTTTTAATAGATCGTGGCTGATTTCCATCCACCATATCTCTTGATTGCTAATACATCAACTCCAATATTAGCCAGTAACGTTGCCGATGTTCTTCGGAATGAATGGCCTATGTGGCCAGGATGTTCGAGTTTCAAAAACTGTGTAATCTTATTAAGAATCATAGAAAGGGTATTCTTGCCGACTGGTTCAAAACGGCATGCTCCTGCAATGCCTGACTCCGTCACTACTTTCATTAGCAAATATATGTTAATGGGGGCCTGAACGAGAAAATCGTTGACTTGTTCTCTTGTAAAAACGTTTGACTTTTTAGGTGTATAACCGTCATTCTTACGTTTCAAAAATGCTCTCAGCTTGGGGTATTTTGATATATCCACGTTCTTCTCTATGAAAATAGTTGACTTAATCATTGAGTATTCACTCCACAAACTCGCCGATGACTTTAAAGTTCTTGACTTCTCCATGAAATATGCTGGCAATGCATTTCAGAAACACCAGTATTTTTGTTCTGGCACCATTCTATAAAAACAAGGGTTTATAGGCAACCAACCCACAGCAACAGATATCTAAATTTTAACCCGAATCATAATAATATAAAATATGACGTGTATTTTGTATTTGTCTGCTTTTTTCAGTATGAGATTTTTGGTTTACCTATCAAAAAATATTTGATCATTTATATTTGCCTTTTTATGTTGTAATATTATTGGTTTGTATGTCCACGAATTGGAACACAATGTATACATATTTAAATACACATTCTGACAATAATTTACATGATATTAGTCAATGTTTGCTGATCAAAGGTCAGTGACCAAGAGGTTAAAGATCAGTTGCTGAGAAGTCAAAGGTAAATGCCCTAGGGGTCCATGCTTGAAAGTAAAAGGTTAATAACTGGACAGTCAAAGGTTATTAATCTTCGATCTTCAATCATTGGCTTCTAACTATTCGAGGAATTTAGACGAATCTGAAAGTTTTCAAAGCATTTTGATGTAATTACAGATTTTTCTAAGGATTTTGACGTATTTCTAAGTACGGTAAAATTTTAGAAGTAGGTATAACTATTTAGTGGCTTTTAAAGTTTATTGATGTTTCTCATATATTTCTAATTCTATTTACGTAAACTTTGATCTATTTTTAAGGATTCTAATCAGTACAAAGTCTAGCAAAGGATTGAGGCGATTGCGACTCTATTAATAGTTGTGTCTCTCAAACTCTATTATTAGTTCGACAACCAGTCAAGGTTTTGGTTACCTTCCATGTGATCAACGGGTCTTAAAATGTACATGTTAACGAAATGAAAGCATTTAAAAAATTACAGATAGGTATTTGTAATTACGAATAATGACTTTACATAACGAATTATACCAGTAGTTGAAATATATGTATACAAGGTTGATCCATTATACAAAATAGGTGCAAAATTATTTGAAAATTAAAATATCAATAATAATGTCCTCCTTAGCGTAGTGTTTGATAAACCGTTCTCGAGAAAATTGGCTTTGAAATTTCAAGCCCATTTTTAATGTCGCGATAACATCATCCTGCAACATTTTTTCAATTTTACCGTTTCCTCCCTCAAGGATTTCTGCCTCCTCGCAAAACAGCATGCAAAACAGGCCCTCTCTGCGAAATTCCGGCTGGAACTCTCTCAGGGCGGCGCGGGGACAGCGGGGGCAGCAGGGGGCCGAGCGTTGAATGTGGTCAGCCGTCGCCGGGGGCCGAGGCCCTTTCCCTGCTAATGAGTCGGCGGCGGGATGGCCTGCGGGTGCCAGCGGTCGCCGCAGGACCTTCGCCCGTTGCTCGCAAAGTGAGTGCTCCTTCGAGGAGCGACCTAGTCCGGTCCGCCATCCTTAAAAGGCGGCTGCAACAGAAACGTTTATGAAGCAGGAATGTGACGAGTTGAGTTTTCATTTTTTGAATCGTTAATTTAACATTTTCAGGGATTTCTTTCGGAAAAATTTTTGTTTCATAAAAATGAATTTGGGTCAACTTCAAACTTTTCTATCTTATATTTTCGATAGTTCCATGCAGTGGCAGCTGGTGAAAATTGAAGTGGTTATATTTTAATAATGAAGCATGATCCATACCGTTTTTTTACAAATGCTCACAAAGAGAACTTTCAAAGTGAAAAAATTTCAAACGGAATTTTCGAAATAAAAAATTAAAACAGGGTTTGTTGGCCTTGAGGTCTGGAAAAGGACATACTAGTAGGTACATCATATTTTTTTCAAATTCAACTGATAAATACTAACAGCCATTTTTTCATTTTTCACAAAATTAAATTTTCTTTGTAGTAATACCTATGTAAATTTTAATTTGACATACCTATTTCATTATTCAAATTTCATAATACCGCAACTTTATGAAAAATACAATGTTTCGGAATAATACAAAAAAGCTGTTTACATATATCATTTGATTACAAAAAATAATGTTTTACAATTATATTTTTCAAGATTGACAGGATTCGCAATCGCTAATTTATTTTCCGTTCATTCGTAAAAATTTTTCGAAATACTTTTTTCCAAAATTTCTCTTTGGGGGCCTAGAAATCATCCCCTAAAAATTATGTGGGTCCCAGAATTATTATTAGCAAAATATGATCACTTTAATTTTCAACAACGGCCCCGGTTTTGTGCAAGAAAAAATAGAAATTAGTTCCTTTTAAATTAAAGCTTCGGAAAACGTAGCTTATAAAAGTTAAAATAATTTTTCTGGCAACTGTAAACATAATATATAATCGAATCTCTGATTTCAATAGATACAGAAATTTCAGAATTCATTACCATGCACCTAAACAGTTCTAAAATATATAAAAATATGTTAAATCAACTTTAGAACGTCAAACCAGCTAGAAAACATATATGTGAAGATTCTCAACGTATTTCCAGATTTTTAGATGTTCTATTTAGAATTTTTCTGTCGGTAAATTTCTAAACATTTTGAAGTATTTTAAAATTAACATTTTGAGGTATATATATATATATATATTTAATAATTTCTCATTATTTTGCATTTTGTTTGATTTTTTTATTTTAATGTTTTATGAAGCCTTTTTGATGTATTTTCAAGCGTTCCAAAAAAGGTACCATGAATTTTAATTCATTTTCCTTTAAAATTATTATTGCAATGTTATTAAAGCAATTTTGTATTATCTTAAAATTGTGTTTTCGAATTTTGAAGCTTCATGAAGCTGTTTTGATATATTTAGGTCATTTTAAAGTATTTCAGAGTTTTCTAGGGCTTCACACAAGATCAAGATTATCTCGATCTTGTCATCTTGACCAGACCAAGAGAGTATTATTGATGACAATTCAAGACCAAAACCAAGACCAAGATAGTGAGGAAGATCTTTTCAAGACTTCGAAATAAAACACAATAGAAAATATGTATATACATAATATTTAGCCAGCCTTCTCTTTATATTCTAAGATGTTTGTAAGGTCTATAAAGATAAACCTCGTTATACCTGAGAAGACAATATCTAACAATAGTTGCAATTAAACTATATCTTTCGGAAATACTAATATTTATAATAATAATGGAAATATTTTCATCAATTATTGAAATTTAATAGAAACTGGACCACAACTGGTGAGTAAAAATTTTCGGACACCAGAGATATATTTTATTTTATACTTTATGAATATAGTTATGGAATAGTAAATAGCATTTGGAGTAATAGTGGAATTAACCAAGACAATATTAACAATAAGTCCAAATTGATAAATTTTCGAGACCAATACAAGACTTGGTCAGGATGAAGACAAGACAGGAAATTCGAGACAAGATTTTTCAAAACTTGTCTTGTCTTGGCTTGAGTGAAGTACTAGAGTTTTCAAAATATTTCGATTGTCTGTATAGGTACAGCAAAGCTGTTTGAAGTATTTAAAAGTTTTCAAGAAATGTTTTTAGCACCTACTTCGAAGTAATTTCAGGTTCTTTCGATATATTTCGAGGTAAACTGTTAACCCCTGCCTTGAGCTAATTATGTTAATATTTTTGTTCTATACGTGAATACCAAGTGTTCAATTTTGGTATATTCAAGGTTATGCATCAATTACAAAACAGTAGTGAGAGAATTTTAGATTTTCTAAAAAAAATAATGACATTTTTCATTCCAAGAAACAATTTCTTCCTTAGTTAAGGCCTCGCGAACCCCAGCAGTCCAAACTACGCACCTCGTTCACATCAGAGGCTGCCGCAGCACCGCGCAACGATATTAAGTCCTCGCCATAACGGAATTCCATTACGGAAGCCGTGAATAATAAATCTGGGGGCATGGCGGTGGTCCGGCGGCGCGGACAGCAGCCCCCGCGCCCCGCCGCCCGCTAACCCTTTGATTAACGATTCGAACGCGGCATCGGCCCCCCGTCCCCACCGCCACCCATTGTCTCGTTGTGTTTGCGATGGCCATGGGCTTGTTCGCAGCAGGTTGGGGTGGATTCCGGAGTTGCGGGATGCAAGGGTGTATCTACAGGGTGGGCAGGCGGAAATTGCCACCCCTTTTGTCGAGAAAAATGTGTCACAGAAAAAATAGCTCTAGCGAATTAGATTAGGAGAAGTTTGGTCACCATAATCCTTATTATTGTCGTTTCCAATAGTCTATAATCCTTTGCTGGCTATGTTGACATGGTTGCCTAATTAGGGTCAGAGCAAGACGGAGACAATCTCAGAATTTAGACGAGAGAGTAGAGCAGTGTTACCAACATTCATGGAATTCAGTTATTTGTAGTGGTCATATAACAACTTTGGTTAAAATCTTCAT